ATTAGGTTTATGTACCGGCCACACCAGTGAATTATACGGGGAAAGGGTGAATTCCCCGTTGCTGGAGATCCTCAGTCACTGGTGCCATCCCTGCCCTGGCCCCTAACGGCAATGAGCAGGGTTTCATGTTGGCAATTTTGGAGGGGGGGAGGGCAGGTGCCACTTGCAATGGGTGACCCTCCGCCCGGGCATGGCGACCGATCGCCTCATCTGCACTATGCCAAAAGACCATGAGCTGCCCTGGGTGTCGTGCCACCACCTGCCTTTTAACACATCCATCCCTAAAAGACTCATCTGAAAAGATCCCGTGACCACCATGGTATTGACAGGGTTTTCCTCTCCTGGTAACCACAGTGTCACCGGAGCCAGAGGCACCGACTGTTTTTCCCAAGGCATTTAGGACAATTAAATTTCTAGATGGAATCAAGATTCCACATTGTTCTGCTTTGGTCCACATTAGCGCGGTAATCTGTGTCCCAAGATCAATCAAAAATGTTACCAGTCTTTTCCTTGGTCCTACAGCAGCAGTAATCATTAAATCCCCTTTTGTACTGCAGGTGAGTTCTCTTACAAACCTCCATCCTCCGCCTCCCCCCTCACTGTTGGGGGGCGGTGGGCCCAGTTTCCCACCACCTTCTTTTCCCCAGTCAGCTCCTCCTCAAGGTCTATCAAGGGTGGAGCATCAGGGGTTGGTCTGAAAGTGGCCCTTTGCCCTTTCTGCACAAGTTGCTCTAATTTTCGGGTCGGGAACCCATCCATTGGGTCCCCGGGAATACCTTTCTGAAGCCCCAGCTGGCGCAGTCCCTGTCCAGTTTAGGGGTCTCTCTCTCCCAGAATTCCAACCTCAGGGCGACTCCAAGCCTTGGCCCTTCCTCACAGATGGTTGCCACCCACTAACTCGCTCTGCAGCCCCTACGACCCTGGTTTCAGTCCTTTGGGACAATCCACCAACAGGACCATACATTCTCCCAAAGTTAATTAACTCCTGGGCTCTCTCTCCTCATGTCCATATTTTTCTCCCTCACTGCTGATGGTCAGGGGTCACTATCCCCTCTGGAGTGGCTGTAATTTTCCCTCCATTGGGGGTGTCTTGAATCCTCCCTTGTCACTGAATCCCAGTGGGTTTCAAGCAGTCCAGAAGTCCCCATATCCGAGTCATCCTCTCTGGGTGCACAGGCATCATCATCATCATCATCGGGGAGCCCTGGCTGGGCTTGAGCTCCCGATTATACATCATGTGGAGACAGTGACTGACCCACTCTGCCTGTTATGGCGAGGGAATCCCGCCTCTCCAAGGGGTTCAGCCCTCCAGCCCAACACAAGCTCTCGAGTCAATGACCATGGGGTGCGGTGGTCGCCAGTAGTTAGAAGCACACCTGACCCCAATATCCTTCTGCTTCTTTCTGACAACAAAATTCCGTCCCCTCCTGACAAAGATACTCTCCACACATAGTCTGTCTCAGATTCCTTTGCAGTCCTTGCAACTTTGTTAATTCCGTTTGTTAATTCCGTTTCTCAACTTTGTTAATTCCGCTGCTGTAAATGGGACTTCTTTGGCAATAACCTGAGGACGGTCATTGCTGTCATCCTCGTACACACACTGTTTTAACCAGCGGATACATATGGGGGAGGCTCTCTACAGTTTCTTTGGCCTTCTGCAAATCTCCTTGGGGGTATCCCCTTCTCCGACAGCCTCACTTCTACCTCCACCAGTGTATCTGCCTCCCTCAAAAGCTGATCCCTCAATTCCCCCTTTAATACTGTATTTTGGTTCCTTTCCTCTTCTAGCAATTGTTTACTTTCTTTTAATTGTTCCTGCAGGGGCTGTATGGCAGTCTGCAGGGAGCCTATTACAGTATCAGCTTGACAAGACTTCTGCTTTCTCCACCGCAGCTGCCAGACTTGCTCCTAATGCTGCACAAGTCACAGCTTTTTCCTGTCCCTCTCCTACCCTTAGCTTCCTTCTGCAATGCTCTTATCCCATCCACCACACTCTGTGGTTCAAACCAGTGATTTTTCACCTAATCTTGTCTTGGGAGTGAGGGACGAGATCAGTGCCCTTCCAATAGATCATGTATTTATCCGTTCTTTCAACCCGTGAGGGCACATTGTCACAAGCATTGGCATGTGCCTTCTGGGCAGCCGTTCTTTTCCCTAACACAAAGGGGTCATTGTCCTGAGAGGGTCACAACTTAGTATCCAAGTTTCCCCTTTTCTCTTTCAGAAGGCCACACCGTAATGTTACACAAATGTAATTTTACTGCCCACTCTTCCCCCCATTCACTCTCAGGAGGTCACACCTTAATGTAACACAAAAGGGGGTTATTTCATCCAGAGAGAGTTGCACTGAACACAGCAAGGTAGTATAGCACTCTCACCTCTAGGGATCCTGTCCACGATGCCAAATTAAAGTCTCCCGATCCAATATTGGGGAGGGTTCTTAAACGATCCCAAGAGCGAGATTAAGATGCAAACGAGGTCAGATGCTGTACAGCCTTGTGAGCTTTATTTTGCGAAACAAACCAATAATAGTGACAGGACAGAAGGAAGAAGAAAGGAAAAGTCAGAAAAACTAAGCAAGCCAACAAAAAGAAGAAGCAGCAACACTAATTATCACCACTGATACAGAGAAATTATTACTTGTTTTGAGACTTATTTACTTACTAATAGAAAACTGTTTAGCAACTTATTTACTTACTTATAGCAAGTTACAGTATTACTTATAGTACTTTTTTAATATTGCTAAGAAACCTGCTTGCCCAGACTGTTCTGTGGAATTTCACCAAGGACTGCTGTGTTCATAAAACACAGCAGTTCACTGTGAAAATCTACCAAGAACTATAATGTTCCGCAAAATATTATGCTTTTGTCCTTGAGGAACAGGTGTGCTCTAACTAGTTGGGAGTCTTGGTAATGAGTAAAGATAGCCATGTATGGATAGGAAAAGATCCACTGGTTCTCTTAGATAAGATAGAATGAGTAAACCAGCTGAAAAAAACTCTTATTATTCAAGAAATTGGCCAAGAGAATCTGTGCATGCTCCAGGGGGAAAAAAAAAAAAAAAAGGTGAGAAAGACTACGAGCCTTCCTCCCAAAGACCCCCGAAGACGCCCACCAAGAGGCAATGGGCAGGTGCAAAGAGAACGTCAACTGTTGACATCAGCCTTTCGAACTAACCCAGCCTCACTCCTGCACATGTATGGTTGTGTTATGTAACCCAATGAATATGGATATCCACACTGTAAGTTTTTGGTAAAATGTGCAGTGGGTGTGCAAGCTTTGTGAAGAGATCCCCTTGCACCCCGGCACCAGAGTAAACATACAAACATACCTGCTGTGTAACTATTTGAGATGTAGAGTCTTTTCTCCACAAATCAATGCTGC